TTAAAATCAGGTTCTACTATGAGTAAAGTACAGTTCTGCATAGATGTTAAAGAAAGGCATACACCTTCTGAGAGAAGAAAAATGCAACCTCCCTCTTACAAATAAAAAGTAAATATCACATACAGTAAAACACACACCTGCTCAGTTTACTACACATTATACGGTGTTAGGTATTTTTAGTCAGATAGAAATTGGTTAGATACTTGTTGTATTAGAAATGTTTAGTGGAGACAGGATGTCTAGTTAGGCTGTTAAATGCTTAGTCATTCTCATGAGTTTTTTGCAGGGTGCATATGGTCAAGGATAACTAGATAGAAAAAGTTTGATTGTCAGCAGACAGGATGATTATTGTTATTATTATGATATGTTTAACCGTAATTGTAATCATAATATTTTCTTATGTGTAATGTCATGACATGTCACTAGATGTCATGTCAGAATGTTCTTAGATACACACCACTTAATCAACACTCACACACACATTGATTTTCTCCATGTTTTGACTACTGCTACGGTCAGCTGTAAAGCTGGCATATCAGGTGACGCCACGGTTTGACGTTCCTGGGTAGAATGGGGCTAGCCCAACCGAAGTGATAAATGTATAGGCCTATTGTGGTTAAGGGTTTTTTCATTCTTCGTCGGCCTGTGTGCAGTATTGGAGGTGGAGGATACCTGGACGTGTAATGTTAATTTTACCTGTGATCCTTTGAATAAACCAGCATGATTTTTTATATCCAAGTGGACTGCCTCGTCTCTCTGAGTTCCTGGTTAAAAGAACTGGAAATCTGCCTTCAACGGGTTTAGCTGTTAGAACCTTATTTCGTCTATGAAGAATAGTATCTTATAGTGGCTAATGTTAGCTAATGGTTGCTACTCTTACAACATGTTTCATCATGTCACAGATAAATATCACAAACGTAAAACAAATGTTAAAATGCACAGGGAGATGAATTTCCTCTTTATGGCTCTGCTCCTCTCACTTTCACTCAGGCTGCCTAATTTTTAAAGCACCCGACTCAAGAGAATCATGGGGAAGAACTCAAGGGAAATTCAGTGAGCGCTGTGAGAGTGAACGAAAGCACTCCAGCTACAGGATATCAAACAAAACAACAAGCTAGAAAGTCACTTTTGGCTTTTCCTGTTTAGGGGTCACCACAGCAAATCGTCACACTGACGACTCGCATGTTGACATTTGGTACGTGTTTTACACCGGATGCCCTTCCGGACACAACCTGGATTCGAGCGTGGGCCGCAGCGGCAAGAGTGCTGCGCCTTAACCACTAGCCTACCAGGGACGGCCAAACAAAATAAGCTAAAAGACACAAAAACACTTTGTAGAGCTGAAAGGAATTGTAGGGTTAAATAATGTGTATGTAATGCAATACTGACCACTTTCTAATGATTCAACTTAGGTAAATGTTTGAGAACTTCTTCCACCTCTGATCATGTGATGGCTGCTACTAGACTAGGAATCCAGGTTGGCTGTTACACTCCCTCCAGCCTCACAGGACTCTGGCATATACACAAACTTTGCTACTCTAGAGCTGACATGGATTTCAGCTTTCCGCTACTGTGTCAAATTCATCTAGAGGAGGTGGCAATTATTGCTAAAGCAGCACTACTGTAGATAATAAGGATGCTCTGGTTTACAATGAAACCCTGTCAGTCCCTTCAGAGCAGTGAGAGAAGGAAAGAGAGCCAGAGAGAGAGGGAGTAAGAGCATTTATAACTTCCTGGGGATTCACTGGAGACATACACACCACAGAGGGTTGATTTCACCATAGAGAAATGTGCTGACCTGCAGTAAGCAGGAGCCAAGGGCAACAAAACACTAAATACAAACACTCCTCTCTGAGCTGGGTACTTTCCCTTCAGTGCTCACACATGTTTAAACAGTGTCTGCCTGTTTCTGTGTGAACATTTGAGTGTGGCGCCTATACTGCTATTTTGTTATATTACACAGCCTAATGCTGGTTTACTGTTTGCACATTAAGAGTCCATGTACCTGACTCAAATTCCTTGTGTGTCCGTCACACCTGGCCAATAAACCAGATTCTGATTCTGATATATCTATGTGAATAAGAGGAAGAAAATAACCAGTTGTTTCTTTAACTTTCTTTTGCTCGTCTCTTTTTATGTCACTCACATTGATAAAAAATTTCTTTCTCTTATGAATTTTTACCTGTCCTAATTCATGTCTGCATAATCCTTCTTCTGTTCTCTGCAGGATGAGCCCAGATGTTACTGTAACAGAGGGATAATGAACCACTCATTTCACTCCATCACTAGGCAATTCTGTCCTCTCCCTCCCCACGTGATCTCCACCTTTTATTACAACACATCCAGGCAGAGGGACCATGTTTGGGTGTAAGCAGCTGCAGTGGTTTTCTCCCACTACTGCCATGAGTATTTGGACATTTTATAGCACTCTGTTGATCCTTTTGTTAGATATGGCATTTGTTCTAAAAGAAGGTTACATTTCTTCATATTTCACATCAGTTATGGAGATGATAAGGGTCTGGTTCCACATCCAGCTTAACTAGTTTTAGGCCTAGGCATTAGACTAGTCATAACAATGTTGGAAGGTCAAGAAAACATCCCAAACTGGGTAATAATGAACATCTAGAAAATGGCAATTGATTGTACTCCCAAATGTTCAAAACCTTTCATACACCCGTTTGTGTACCTGTGTACAGATGCACATGCACAGACACAGCTCACAACTTATGAGGATTAATGTACAGTATGTGTCTTATGTATTACACAGTGGTGCTGGACTGGACGAGACTAGACCGGACTACCATTCCCCAGTTAGCACAGATGTACTGTACTTGATGTAGTTAGTGCCAAAACTAAACCATTCTTAGACACGTCCGAATTTTCTTGATGGTAAAGTAATATGTTTATCAGGCATCATATGCTTGGCTTACCTTTCTCATTTGTGTTTGATAATTTCAACAGACATTCAATTTGAAGCTAATTAGTTAAAACTACTCTACCTACTGTAGTTTCTTTTCAGCCATTAGAGGGTCTAGTGAGACTCAAAACAGACTGACACCATAAGCTGCTCCTAACTGCTCTTTGCCTCCTTCCATCACATCCTGTTTCCTGCCAAATGTAAAATGGATGTCTAGTTGTGACAAAATGCAAAAAATGCTGCCTGCAGTCTGAAGCTAGCATTAGTTGACTAACAAATAAATTCAGAAGTCCAGTAAAATGCTCTGGTTAATAGTAACATGACGAAAGCACTAATGTTACACAAATCTTGAATTACTGCCAAATTAAAATAATCTGAATTCAATACACAGGTTAAATCACAACCATGCTAGGTCGCTAATGTTACCAAAATAAACATATTAGCTTTTGATGCTAATGTATTCAGAAGGAACAGTGCCACATCTGAATCAAATTTGATTCCTTTGGCTGCTTTTAACACACTCCATGTCAAAAAGCCAAACTGATTTTAACCCCAGTTTTTGTCCTTTCTTTTTCCCACTCTCTCTCTTTGCAAAAGAACAAGACATCTTTGGTCTGACAGCCTCTGTTTTGCACTTTAACTTTAGGAGCGATTGTTTGTGGCTGGCAGTTTGAAATGACTACTTGTGATTTGAAAAACATTACTTATAATCTTCACTAGGTGGATCATGTTTTAACAATGCAGGGTTGGACCAACAACAGAAGCAGCGTGGGCAGCAGAGTGTCATACTATGCTGCACACAGATGGAACCAACTTCCTAATGACCTCATGAAGGGGGTGTCATAAATGACTCAGACCTGAGCATCACCAGTCACATCAAGGCCATAACAAAATCTGTTACAAAATCATGCTACTGGTGGTTTATAAATCACTCACTGTTACGGGGCCAAAATACATTTCAGATGTCCTTGAAAAATACAAACCCAACTATGCTCTCAGATCCTTAGGAAGCAGTCAGCTGGTAGAACCTCAGGTCAGAACCAAACAAGGTGAAGCTGCTTTCAGCTACCATGCTGAGTTTTACATTTGCAACTCAAAACACCCGCTGTGTTTCAGCACCATACCAAAAAAACCCACAAGTAAGAAGCAACCCTTTTATGAAATAAAACAAAAAAGTAGTTGAATGGATGGGTCTTTTTACAATATCAGCTTTCTCTCCACCTGTAGAGCTAGATCATTTAGCATTATCACTACTAATAGCTGCTGTTTTTCAGTGGAATATTTATCACATTAGCTGCCATAGATGTCTAGAAAAGGTGGTGTGTGGTTAAACATATGCAATGCAAGAATTTGTGCAGCATAAAAATTCACCTCAAACAGTAACTTTATCGATTTCCAGCAAGCTGCTTTATTTCTAAACATTGCAAATGCCCACATATAAGCTTTTATGAAATTGTAGAAATATACGGTATTTTCTACCCCAGTTTTGTGTGCACATCCTCGACTATTTGTAAAAGCAATTTGACCAGCTAATAGTTGTTGAGGTAACTGAGCGTAGTGTTGTTATGCTTCAACGTGGTGTGTTTTGAAGTAGACACAGAAAGGTAGCCTGTGGGTGGGGTTTCCTGTTAAATATGTTTACATCCAGTGTTTCTTACCAAAACTCACTGTTTGTATACTTGAGTTCTAACAAAAGTGTTTAATACATTCTCTGTACATAGAACATTTGAAATGCTGACTTTCACAAAATATATATTTTGAAAACCTGTGCTGCTGCTTACAGGCAGTCTTCTTCTTCTTCCCACCTTTGCTCTGATATTGTTTTTGGCTGTTAGCATGAAACCATTAGCATGAAGGTGTATTATGTGGCTCACATGCTTGTGCAAGTAGGCATGCTTCATTATGGCCATGCTAGAATAACATGAGATGCAAAAACAGTGGGAATGAGAACATAAAAACACTGCTCCATAGCACCACTAGTGGCCAAAAACTCCACAAAAGGATTTTAATATATTAGGCTACTCTTGCACAGTAAATTGTCCTCTTAAAGTCTTAAAGGGTAAATGATGGTGTAAGAGTTGTTCCACAAGCCAGACTTGCCATATACTTTATGTTCACAATGTGACTTTTATTTCAGATTTGACTTCTGTTCTTAGTTTGCATTTTATGTCTTAATTATATTATACACAATTACACACATCCAAGTGAACTCCTTATTTAAAGGTACGTTTTTAAAAACTACCATTGCAATGTCGATATAAAACATACACATACTGTATAAAAAACAAGTTCTATGCAAGCTATAACTGCAAATTTGACTTAAAGAAATCTTCCAGTTTGTGGCAACATCTTCTGGGTGTATTAAGCAACACATAAAAACCCAAAATTGGTGGCCCATTCCATGACAGCTACACACTAGCAAATGCACACTACAAATAAGTTTTTCTCTCTTTTGCATGCACTTACTAACACAATCAACTGAGGACTACATTTTAGCCAATTAGCCTAACTCAAACTACCACGTTATAATTAAATAGAATAAAGCTACCAGAACCACAGATGTCCATTAGTGAAACACTGAAATGAAATTAACTAAATCTAAATGTAAATGATCACTAACAAAGCTAACAAACTGTGACTGTGGTGCTCCATACCGTGTGCCAGCAGGTGCAATGTGTGTGACAGGGCTGGCAGGCTGACAGAGGGTGGAAGCCAGTGCTGGCATCAGGCAGAGAACAGCCAGTGGGGGCCAACGAGGCTTGAGGCAGAGACGCGGGCTGATGGCGATAGTGGAGATGTGGCTGAGTGTAAGTGGTCGCGGTTCGAGCCCCACCGGGCCCTGCTGCCTGAGCTGCTGCTGCTGTCTCCTCCTCCGCTGCTGCTGCTGCTGCTGCTCAGCTGAAAACACCCAGCAGGGTCCGTAAGAGGCTCAAGAGTACACAAATGACTCCCCTGGAACACAACAGGTACAGATGTGGCAATACTTGTCTATGGTCTACCATTCAAGAAATGAAAAGGCATTTTGCTGTTTTGTGCTGGCACTTGTTTCTCTGTAAAGCAGCAAAACCATATTTCAACTTGGAAAACATGATATACCTGGGCACTATTAATGATTGATATTTCCCTTATCACATTAAATCGAGTATGAGTTATGTGTTGTAGTTATGTTAATTAAGCATGATATCATTAAAATCTGGAGGTGAAAGCCTTTAGTTGGTGCCAAACAAGGAAATGTACCTCAGAAGTTATAAAAACATTAAATGTACCAGAAACTGTTTTTCTGTAACACAACCCAACAAGAATCTACAGTGGGTACAAAAAGTATTCAGACCCCCTTAAATTTTTCACTCTTTGTTACAGTGCCTTGCGAAAGTATTCGGCCCCCTTGAACTTTGCGACCTTTTGCCACATTTCAGGCTTCAAACATAAAGATATAAAACTGTAATTTTTTGTGAAGAATCAACAACAAGTGGGACACAATCATGAAGTGGAACGAAATTTATTGGATATTTCAAACTTTTTTAACAAATAAAAAACTGAAAAATTGGGCGTGCAAAATTATTCAGCCCCCTTAAGTTAATACTTTGTAGCGCCACCTTTTGCTGCGATTACAGCTGTAAGTCACTTGGGGTATGTCTCTATCAGTTTTGCACATCGAGAGACTGAAATTTTTGCCCATTCCTCCTTGCAAAACAGCTCGAGCTCAGTGAGGTTGGATGGAGAGCATTTGTGAACAGCAGTTTTCAGTTCTGTCCACAGATTCTCGATTGGATTCAGGTCTGGACTTTGACTTGGCCATTCTAACACCTGGATATGTTTATTTGTGAACCATTCCAATGTAGATTTTGCTTTATGTTTTGGATCATTGTCTTGTTGGAAGACAAATCGCAGTCCCAGTCTCAGGTCTTTTGCAGACACCATCAGGTTTCCTTCCAGAATGGTCCTGTATTTGGCTCCATCCATCGTCCCATCAATTTTAACCATCTTCCCTGTCCCTGCTGAAGAAAAGCAGGCCCAAACCATGATGCTGCCACCACCATGTTTGACAGTGGGGATGGTGTGTTCAGGGTGATGAGCTGTGTTGCTTTTACGCCAAACATAACGTTTTGCATTGTTGCCAAAAAGTTCGATTTTGGTTTCATCTGACCAGAGCACCTTCTTCCACATGTTTGGTGTGTCTCCCAGGTGGCTTGTGGCAAACTTTAAACAACACTTTTTATGGATATCTTTAAGAAATGGCTTTCTTCTTGCCACTCTTCCATAAAGGCCAGATTTGTGCAGTATACGACTGATTGTTGTCCTATGGACAGAGTCTCCCACCTCAGCTGTAGATCTCTGCAGTTCATCCAGAGTGATCATGGGCCTCTTGGCTGCATCTCTGATCAGTCTTCTCCTTGTATGAGCTGAAAGTTTAGAGGGACGGCCAGGTCTTGGTAGATTTGCAGTGGTCTGATACTCCTTCCATTTCAATATTATCACTTGCACAGTGCTCCTTGGGATGTTTAAAGCTTGGGAAATCTTTTTGTATCCAAATCCGGCTTTAAACTTCTCCACAACAGTATCTCGGACCTGCCTGGTGTGTTCCTTGTTCTTCATGATGCTCTCTGCGCTTTAAACGGACCTCTGAGACTATCACAGTGCAGG